TCTAACCATGGTTGCACTGTCTTCATAGTTGTGAAGATTTTATACTGCAGTGAAAAATGATCCCAACGTGAGTATAAAGGTGACAGGAGCTGCTTTAGGGTCAGGATGTTAATGCTGTAAAATGTGAAAGCCAAAGTTTGAACTCTACTCGGCCAACTAGTAACAGACACTGCCACCTGCTGGACATTAGGAGTCACTGCACTGGACTTTTGAAGAAAAAAAAAAGTATTACTTTATTCTATTGGGATAGATTTTCTACGTGTTTAGACTTCCATTCTTTAATATTCTGAAATTCTGAAATTCCACACTTTTAAATGAAGAGCAGTAGAGCAGGCTTGCAGGCTTGCAGGCCTGCTGTCTGCAGTGGGAAGAAGAAAAACAAACGATGGAGTGAAAAACAAGCAAAAAAACAAAAACACAAACAAAACTCTGTTTATCCGTACATTGGAGGTCTGTAAAATCAGCCTTCTAAACCAGAACCTTTTCGGGGAGCAGGGCGGAGGGCGGAGCAGACCAGCTCCTGAGATCCTTTCAAACGTAGTCTTCCTGAACTTCAGTCAGTTTCACTTTCCATTCCAGCTGCCAGCTGCTGACAGGCGTGCTTCGACGCTGTACAGGATCAAAACCAAAATCTAACCTACACGTTTGCTATACTTTCTGTCTACTTACTGGACCTAAAAGCTGCACTTAACTGTTAAGTCGAAGAGAGGAAGTGTCAGCTGGAAGCGACCTGGTTGGATGTAGCGCAGCTTGTTTTACGCACAGCTCCGTCTTATCACAAATGCGACACCTTTCGTGTTACCTGTCGTTCCAGGTGTGATCATGGCTTCCAAAGTGGACTTGAAAGAGGGTGAGCGGCTCAACTTAGTTCGTTATGATGCTTTTACCTCATTTTATGTCATTCACTGCTAACAGCCCACCCATGTGTTGTTTTGTGAGTGCCAGTGTTTATCATTGATTTCTATTTCTGTGTTTGAGTATCATTAAACTGAGGTTGTGGTTTTGGTTCGTCATAATGAAACAGTAAGTCTTTTTAGATTAAAGTACAGTCAGATGGAACCTGTCAAACCTTTCCTTTGACCACTGTTAGTGTTACAGGAAGTGACAGTTAGAAAGCACCCCATGCACAAAACAGTGCCATCCACTGGTTGCAAACATAACTGACGCGAAATGAAGTGTGTAGATAATAAATCGTATGTTCATATTGAGTTTTCCTTTGCTCTATGTGCAGCGGAAAAGCTTGCGCAGTCTCTGAGTGAAGCCCTGAGCAGCGGGGATCGCAAGGAGGCAGTTGAACTGTGTGAAAGGCTGACTGACCTCTGTGTTCCGGTATCTGTCAGCATCAGCGCTCAGGTCTACTCTCAGGACTCCATAAGGTGTGTGTATGCATGTGTGTGTGTGTGTCAGAGACTCCCCTATTTTGGACAAATGTGTCCTGAAAAGTAAACCTTTTTGCATCTTTTGAAGGGCAGTTTTTATTCTTAGAGTGACGTCCATTTTGAGTTTGATTATGTAATGAATTTAAAGATTTAGGTCAAATGTGGCAACAAGAAATGGTCATGCATGACTGTGTCTTACTCTATCTGTGTGGTTATTTGCTGGATATATGAAAGCAAAGAACAGGAGTCACATTCATGTGGATATTGTACAATAGTCGAGTAAAAATAAGACAAAACTGTAAGTTTCTGTTGTTTTTTGTTTTACAGGTTAAGAGTTGGAGTGGAGGATGCTCAGTCTGATGCTTACATCCCAGTGACTGTGGCGGTTTCTGCTGGCATGACAATTGCGGAACTTAAAGACAAGGTACTGTTGGGGAAACTTTCACCAAATGAGGCACCATTTAATTTAAATCTGGGGTAGGCAGTCTGTACCTCCATTTGGATCTGTTTCCAGACTTTATAATATCTGGCTTGTGACTAGAGACTTGGCCCAATCTCAGGTCTTTTTAGAGGGAGGGAATTTCCATTAGCTGTTTTACTAACGTTGATGCATGTGCACCTCCTTTCAGGTGTGGGAGAGACTCTGGTGGCAAAAAATCATGCAGAAAGAGCTTCTATTTAATCATTGGCGACAACTGTCTACACCGTAAAACAACTCATAAAAAGGACGACAGCAACTAAAAGAGAGTCTGACAATAAATTGAGTTTATTATACCAATGCACTTAGAATTTTTTTAAAGAGGGGTTGAATGAGGCACTTGTCAGATTATTACCTACAGTAGATAGCTGTTTGCACCATCCCAGTTTGCAGACGCAGACTTAGCAGAGTTATGCAGAAATTTGACTTTGCAGAATGTTGTAGTTGCAGGTATTGCTGCCTCAGTCGGTTAGTTTGTTTGTTTGGTGTTTAAATACAGAGGTTCAGATCCAAATTAACACCAAAGTCGCAAAGTACCTCAAACCTCAAATAGGACAGTAGTACACCAGCAAATTCTGCATTGTGCAAGATAAAACGGTAAAAATATTTAAGTTCCAGCATACACTTGAACTGAACTCTTTCTAGATTGCTCAAATGTGTTTTGCTGCTGCCCCTGTGGACAGCATTTTATTCTAATGCTTCTACATCTAAGATTAAAACCAGCATAAGATGCACATGCATGTGTTTTTTTTAAATCGTATTACTTTTTTTTTGCCTTTTCTGTATTTCTGCCTCTCACAGCTCCTATAATACCCTACCAACCTGTAATACCCTAAACTTAAACTGAGTCACACAAGTGTTCACTGTTTCTTTGCTGTTTTTTGTGTATTATTATCAGATGTATACTCCAATAAGTGGCAGTAGGTCAGTATGCCTCTGTTATCGTGCTTGAAGCTTTGTATTTTTAATACACTTCTTTAAAAAGGTTGAAGTGAAATTTCAATGGCTGATTCTCCTTTATTCACAGATCAGCCATGACTTTGGCTTCCACCCGCTGCTGCAGCGCTGGGTGATCGGGAAGCGGCTGGCTCAGGACCCGGAAACGTTATACAGCCACGGTATCCGTGATGACGGAGACCAGGCTTTCCTCTTCATCCTCTCCGCACAAGCTGCTCATCTCACACGGCATCAACACAATCTGGACCAGGAGCAACAGCGTATAGATGGTGAGTAGCTCACATGCCCATAAAGGTTGCAAATAACAGCAAATTTCATCGTCAGTTGATCCTTTGATATAGTCTGTCAGCAAATGCTCACAAAACAGCCTAAAGTGATGGATGGCCTTCTTTAACTATTGAGCATGCATGCTTACACACATTACTTAGAGTACACACAGCCATGGCCAAACCTGAACTGACAAATTATTCAGGCAGAAACTGGAATCGACATCAGTGGGTAATGTCACACAATCACAATCACACAGTGCAAACCTTTATTATTTGATAGCATTTGGTGTTTGATACGGACACATTTTGGTCAGTATTACGTGTACAGTAGTATAGTTGAGTAGTTCTTCCATGACAGAAATGTTTTTTCTCTCATCATCAGTGGAGTAAGCAAGTCATGTGATTGCACTGCATTTATAAGGAATGATAATCTGTTCTCAGGTATCATGGAGTCCATGCAGTCGATGCAGCTTTTTCCCAGAGGGGTGGGTGGAGGTGAGAAGACAGCTCCTCCTCCAGAGATTGAACAGATCCCTCCTCCTGTTCCCCCGAAAGCCCCGATTGTTACGAAACCCACCGTGCCTCCTAAACCTCAGGTCAGAACCTACTGAAACATTACATCTGCAGTGACTGAGCCTACAACTGATTACAGAAGTCTAGAAGCAGTACAATCATACCCTATGTCTGTGTTTGTAGTTCGGTTGGTCCTGTTCGATGTGTACGTACGTGAACAAGCCAACACGTCCTGGCTGTGAGATGTGTGGAGGGGAACGGCCAGAGGACTACAAGATACCCGAAATCTACCAGCCAGACCAGGAGGAGGCTCAACGAATGCACCAGGAACAACTGGCCACGTTGCAGTATGAACAGGTAGCAGTGCTGCTCATTAACAGTGAGACAACCAGGATTCCTGAGTGGCTGGTCTCAGATTTATGTCTGAATTATTCCCAACCCTGACCATCCAGGCTCATTAAAATATATGGTTATTGTGTGAGGACTGTTGGCAGTAGAGCCATGACACAGTGCAGCTGGCATCTTAAAAGCTTGCACAGCAGATTTCTAAACCATTTCTCTTGGTGCTCTGGGTATTCTCTCTTTCTGCTCTCTCGCAACTGAAAATGACTTCTACGGAAAGGTTTTCTGTGAATGAGGTGTTGTCACATCACATTGACTATGAAAGTGACACAGAGGAGAATGTTTCTGAGACGGAGGATGACGTTGAGGAGGACCCTGATTCTGAGGCATCCTCCTCTGATGAGAACGAGACCCTCAGTGTTGAGCCTCCTGTTGTTTCTCCATCACCAGCAACCTTCCAAAAGTGGAACATTATCATTGTCCACCTCCCTACTTGAACAACAGGGTAGAGTTAGTGCTGCTAATGTCATCAAAATGATTCCAGGTCCCACAGATATGCTGCCAGCCACGTCTAAGACATAAAATCAGCATTTGAGCTCTTCATAACACCATCACCATCATTCGAAAAAGATATTCTTGAGATGACAAATTTAGAGTGGATGTATGAGAACAGTGGGAAAGACTTGGATGTGATCACTTGCAAGCCTACATTGGGTTGCTCATTTTGGCAGGAGTGTACAAGTCAAAAGGAGAAGCAACAGCAAGCCTTTGGGCTGCTGACACTGGAAGGGCAATATTTCATTATATTCCATGTTTTTTTTTCTCCCGTGTCATACACTTTGACAGCAGAGAAACAAGGCAGGGCCGATGAGAGTGTGACAAACTGTATTATTATCAATTGTATACTCCAATTCATTCATTTGGTACATTTAATTGTTATATGTGTTATTAATACTTGGCGGCATTTCTGTTAACATTTAGCTTTTGGGACAGTTTTCCTCTATTATTTTTGATTTTATTATTATTATTATTATTTTTTTGTTAGTTTTAAATTTATTTTTTGGCCTTTTTGCCTTTTTAAAAAAATGTGACAGTGCAGTAGAGAGAGAGACAGGACAGTTGGGGAGAAGGACCTACGGAAAAGGATCATGAGTGGGATTTGAACTCATGACCTGCCATCAGGAATATGGCACGTATGGGACAAGTGGGTTCAGTGAATACCTTTTCTTTCCAATCCAGGCTCCAATGTGCTCATTTACATGGTACTATTCTTAATAACAGCAGTAGATTTTCATTCCAAATGTTAAAGATTAAAAAAAAGAAAAAAAAAAGCAAAGTACTTCAGTTTATTTAAAAGGGCTATTTAGGTGGACAACAAACAAACAAACCTAAAGTACCTGACACATAAACTTTCGTAACAATTTTAATTAGGATCTTTTTCTGGAGGTTTAAATTGCTGGGGTCAAATTGATTGATTAAATCTGAAGGTAATATGAGGGTTAAGGGAATATAGTGTGCAGAGGTCATTGTTGTTAAAAAGTTAACCTAACAGTGGATTTACAAGAAATGTTTCTGTAGAGCTGATCCCCAGATCCACAATAACACTTCTCAACTCTTTCACTTTCTATTTTCCGGAAACGCAGATGGTGATGTTTGTGATGAGTCATGCACAATTTGTAACCTGAATCTCTGTGTTGTCTGTGTGCTGCTCTCTTACGCTGCAACAAAGGCTCAGCTGGAGGAACGAGAGAGGAACTACATGTACTTGTTGGCAACAGATGAACAAAACCTTATCCCCAACACCACAGAGACGGATTGTCCCATTTGCTTCTCTCCCCTGCAGCCAGGAGAGGGCATCGTGCTTAGGGAGTGTCTGCACACCTTCTGCAGGTGTGAGAGCTTTGCAGCCTTTTTAAATGATGTAAAAATGATTGAAGTGTTTTCTTTGCTTTCTAAAGGGGATTTCAAACTTAACTATGTTTGATCTATTCTTTGTCTGAGTGCCCCCCCTCCTTCCAACTGAGCTATCCTTTAGCTCTGGCTCTGTCTGAGAAAAGAGACAAGCTGAGTAATGCTGAAGTCATATGAAACAGCTAACTTTCACACATGATGCATACTGCACCTGAGTGCATTTGTCCACTTCAACCACACTGCCTTAGGGGCAGACTGTCATACAGATTTGTCCATTTTAAACTGTGATATATGTCAGAGTGTACATGCATTTTTTTCAAATGACTGATGTTTTTTTTTTCTGTTTCTGTTTTTAGTATGAAAATGACTACAACATTTCAATTTTCTGTGTAATTTGTATATATAGTTATTATTACAGATTGTTTTGATCAATTTCAGGACTTTTGGACCCCAGGCCATTTGGTTTAGGGGGCAGGTATTATTTTTGTTTATTTTTGAGGATTTTATTTTATTTTTTTTAATATAAAAAGAGGGATGTTTAGCATGCATTTGGGACCAAAAATACATCAAATTATCAGAAAATGTATTTAACATAGTCTAAAAGTCTATAATGAATACCAACAAATAGCTTACACATATTCTTTCTTGGGGTCCAATGAAAGACTTCCTACACATGGCAACATGAACGTCCTGAATAGGCTTAAAGAACAACAAGCATTTGCTTGTTCAGAAATGTTGGGAAAAGTCAAAAATCATGTGTTTAATATTTTATGTATTTATACATTTGTTTGTTTCATATGTTTGTCCTTGTTCAGAGAGTGTCTAAAAGGGACAATCGTAAACAGTCAAGATGCTGAAGTGGCCTGTCCTGACGAATGTGACAGCAAACTGTTGGACCGAGAGATCAAAGAGGTGAGGGCATTTAATCAAATGTCAGTGCTCCGTATTTTTTAATCATCCATCGCTACCTCTAAGAAAACACACTCAAAAAAGGAGCAGATAATATCTCCTCATTTCTTTTGTGTAAAAGTGGCAGCCATTGCAGTTGTAACCTCCCCCTTTGTCTCTCTGGTATTTATGGTATGATCCTGGGTGCAGCTCCTCACAGAAGAGGAGCACCAGCGCTTTCTGGAGTTGCGTCTCAGCATTGCAGAAAGCCGCTCAGAGCACAGCTTCCACTGTCAGACTCCCAACTGTCGAGGGTGGTGCATCTACGAGGATGAAGTCAACGAGTTCCACTGTGAACTCTGTGATGAAACCAACTGCATCCTCTGCAGGGTACCTTTATGGCATTTATCACATTAACTGATGAAGGTTTTGTCTTTGGTTTAGTAATTGCAAAAAGTACCAAATACAAACTACATGTCTATGTTTTCAGGCCATCCATAAAAATATGAATTGTAAGGATTACCAGGATGACCTGCGCATCCGGGCACAGAACGACGAAGCGGCTCAGAAAACAAAGCAGATGTTAGAGGTAGGCCTTAAAACCTTGTGTTGATAGTGAAAATCTATCTTTGATGATGTTAAACATTAACCACGTGTCTATTTGTTGGTGCTTTTATAATAGATGTGGATTGAGAAAGATTTTCACGACTGTTCACAAGTGCATTTGAATCAGGCTATTATTACGAAATATGGTTGAAGGTTTGTCATATGATTTTAGATTAACATATTAAGGTTCAGTTTGAGTCAGCTGGATCATTAAACAGGCTGAGAAACAGTTTTTACCCATGGTCCATCAGACTTCTGAACTCAAAACAATAACGCACAGTGTCACTTTTAATGATGCTGCTTATGCGCAATCTCCTGCCCATATTTATTCTATTTTATTGTTTTTTATTTGATCTCGTTACCTCCTCACTGTACTGTATATATCTTGCCTCTTTTTATGTTAGGATTCTTAATATAGTCTTGTTTTATGTACATTTGATTTTCTTATTTATTGTTGTTAATTTAGCTTGTTTTAATGCAACGTCCATAGACAGCTACTTATATTTTCGTCATGCCCCCATGTATGATGACAAAAAAAGCTATTCTACTCTATTCTATTCTAATATTACCGTTGTGTAACTTTTAATTGATACTGTTGGTGTACTATTTAAAAAACAACAACTTTATTTCAGAATTGAGATTGATTGATTAATCACTATTTAGTGTTGATTGAGTAGTTTTTGTGTTTCTCTCTACGGCTACTGTACAGTCTTTGCCGTTTTGTTGTATTTTCCCTGCAGAGCCTGCTGCAGAATGGAGAAGCTATGAAGTGCCCACGGTGTGACATCATTGTCCAGAAAAAGGATGGCTGTGATTGGATCTGCTGTTTGATGTGCAAGACAGAAATCTGTTGGGTCACCAAACAAGCTCGATGGGGACCAAATGTACATGTGCATGCATTCTACATACATGTGTGTTGTTTCAGTGTTCAGGAAAACTGCTATATTATATTATGTATTGGGCTGCAGGGTGGCACAGTTGGTAGCACTGTTGTCTCTCAGCAAGAAGGTTGCCGGTTCGCGTCCCGGTGGGGGCGGCTGTTTCTGCGTGGAGCTTGCATGTTCTCCCTGTGCAGCGTGGGTTCTCTCCGGGTTCTCCGGCTTCCTCCCATGCAGTCCAAAAACATGTTGAGGTTAATTGGTGATTCTAAATTGTCCGTAGGTGTGAATGTGAGTGTGCTTGGTTGTCTGTCTCTAAGTGTAGCCCTGTGATAGACTGGCGAGCTGTCCAGGGTGTCCCCTGCCTTTGCCCTAAGTCGGCTGGGATAGGCTCCAGCCCCCCCGCGACCCTAGTGAGGATTAAGTGGTGTATAGACAATGGATGGATGGATATTATGTATCGGAACTGTGTATCTGACTTTTTCCCTTTTTTTCCCATTACAGGGCAATGGTGACATATCTGGTGGCTGTAGATGTCGAGTCAATAATCAGCCTTGTCATCCTAACTGCCAAAATTGCCACTGAGAGAAGCACACTAATGAACACATGCTGCTGAAAACACATGCACTGTCTGGAGAAATTCAGACCTCTTCTGATGCTTACCTCTCTGGCTTAATACTGGCTACATTAATGTGTTATGTTGATTTATTTCAGCCTTGATTTCAGTGGTACACTGACAATACTCAGTTGTCCTGCTGCTGAAGTACATCTTTCTTTAGTAACCACAGATAAACATGTAATAGATAAGCAATGCAGACTGCCAGCTATCTCCTCTACATATGTCTCCAGCTGAGGATACCAACTGTCATTGTGGAGAAAAAAAAGCATTACTGGTTTCTTCTGCCATAACTATACTTTTTTGTGATGAGTTAATGCCATAATAATAACATTCTGACCACTGGCTGTTGAGATTGACTTTAAGTCAGAACTGGTGCTTTGATCAGAATGAGCAAACTCCAAACCTTTTCCTGAAAAAGTACAACTACAACTAACTACAACAATTAACTGCATCAATTAATAAGTTATTTTACAACTCATCACGTTGTCTGTGAAACAGCAGAACTAAAGACAAAGGAGTGCCTACAATTACAGATGCCTTCCAAGCCAAACTGATCATGAAGATTTTCTGTTGTTTTTTTTAAGTTGTAACCTGTAAACTTTGAGTTTTATGCTTAGTAATTGACTAAAATTATTGATTGGTTCCAGGATTTGTGAGCAGGGAATTTTCTTTTCACTTGACCAATCAGGCAGTGGTGAAGGATGTTTTATATTTAAGGTGTTTTCACTGAATAAATGTGTTCATGATGCAAACCAGGCTGCTCGGACACCCAGTTGACTTAAGTATTTGGTATAAACATGGCAGGGTGAACAAATAATGATGCTGTATTTTATTAAGAATTAAATAAAATTTAATCTGTAGTTCTTCAGTGTTTATTTGTCAGGAACTACAGACACTAATGTACTATTACATTATGCAGTATATTGTGTTTATGCCTTGTATCTATGAAGTTTGTTGGGCTTTACCTCTATTTGAAATATCCATTTTAAACTACCTTTGTCAAATTGTTTCTAGTAAGGAAGCATGTATTTGAAGTATAGACAAATATAGACAATATAGATATAAGTAAATATAATGCCAGACTGAGCCTAATGAAACATTCAAGTCTGCCGATTCTGCTGTGCACTTCACTTGAGTTTTGCATTAACATGAAAATATGGCTCATAATAATGAAGTTGTATTTTATTTTAACAATGTATGTTTATCGAAGTGATACACACAAGTGATCCATAAAGCTGGAACCTCCAAACATAGTATTTTGGCATCATTGTACCACAATAAATATGTTAACAATAAAGTCAAAGAATGGGTGTAACTGAAGCTGACTACTTGGCAGCTCAATCAATCTCGACAGCTTAAGCCTAATAAAGTCTGGTTTCGGATGAAAAAGGTAACTTTGTCTTGAGCTTTACTATAAAATTTGAACTTAAGAGGTCCACAATAGTCAGTATACCCTCAGTAACCAAACATAGAGCGCAATCAAATACTATCAACATTTTCACTCTAGTTTATTAGCATTCTCTTGTACATTTACATTAGTATGACAGTTTTGTTATAACAAAATAAACATAAAAGGCAGATAAATCATTTAGTGCAATGACAAAAAAATGAATACCACTGAGTGCAGATACGCGATGCATTACAATACTGAACAACAATATGCTCTGAGGTTCCTAAGAGCATATTTGGACATGTGCCAGGTCACCTTCAGTTTGATCAGTTTATAGATCCTTTACCAGCTGAATCAGGGGTTCACTGTAAAGGCATAAAGCGAAGTCAATCTTAATACACGAATAGAATCGGATAGTGTTCAGTTTGTAATATAAAGTAGCAAAAACAGCATTTCTCAATACAACTTTGATAACGTCAACAGAACTGAGAGGTTTTGTGTGGTCGTCTTGTGCTATCCAATATAGGTAACCTAGAATTCAAGATCAGTAATTGTAAGACTCTGTCAAAAGACAGAGTCAAAAATAACAAAGATCATAGACGATCCAATTTCACAAAGAAAAAAGTTCTTTGACAAACTATCACTAAGCTGTGTAGTTTCTGTGAAGACTTGGGTATTTGGTTGAGTGCCAAACCACTGAAAGCAATCAAAGCCTCTACTGAAATATGTGATTGAATAAAAATTACTGAGCCATTGAAATGTATTGGACTCCCTTTAGAAATGCAAATGCTGCTCATTCTACACTCAGACCAATCCAGTTTACTAAATGGCATGTGCTCAAATCAAGCAGAAACCATGATTAAAACAAAAAATATTAGACAGCATTATTTCGCAGCTTCGGGCCCATTTTAGACAAGGGCACCTTTTCAGTAGTAATGAGCAAAGCACCTATCAAACTAATATTAAAGTGATTTTGAAAAACTAATGCAGTGCAAATTAGATCCCCCACTGTGCCAATCCAAACACTAGTATACACTTGATTTTACATCATTTATTCCACTTGTGATAGTTTATGAAGAGAGATTTGTCCACCTACTCCAGAAAAAGTCACACAGAAAATAGTCATGTGGGGCCACAAAACGCACACATTTCAAGGTTGTGAGACCAAACATTTAACTACTTTAACTGGAGAGCTCTTGATAAACCATTTTGATACAGTTGATTGTTCATTTTCTGGACTGTGAAAGCTGTGTTCTGTCATAGGGGGCTAATCCTCAGATTTACATTTGGACATACAAAAATAGTCTCAAGTAGGCTACACTATATTTACTTTATTAACACCAACTACATTTCTTAGCTTCGTAATAACGAATAACGGACCCCTGCCATGAGCCAAAACTAAAATGTGTCGTCAAGGGCGATGACCGTTGATGTGGCTCCCAAAGAAAAATGTATTTTTGTTGAACTAACTACAAAGACACAATTTCCAATAATGGAAAAATTGACCTAAAAACAATTAAATGGTGACTCTAAAAGTGCCTGTGTGTCATGTTGCTATACAATTACTTACATACTTCAAAATTAAGAAACAGTAAATTATACAAAGAGAGGATTCTAATAATCCTCTATTTGGTCTCAGTCCAGGTATCAAATAGACAACAAATGGGTTGTGACCACACACACTCACACGCACGCTCACACGCCAAACAAACACACGCACTTGTACATTCACCCCAGCTCTCTAAATTGGCAGCAGTTTCAAGTGTTGTGAGTCCATCAAGCTTTCAGCATAATCTCAGTGAGCAAAACTCAATATCAGATTATCCTAATAGGAATATAAATAAACTTTAATGACACCATCAATAATAGTTCTTCAAAATAGTCTCTTCATTGGAGCCAGAAGGATTCTTCATTTCAGAATACCAGCAGCTGTTAAACTGGTCCACTCTTCAGGTGTCATAAAAAGGGCCCATAGCAGCGGCCTCACAAGCCCTAAGAAGAGTGAGATGTTTTGACACATCTGACAAGACGAAAGCGGAGTGTTACCTGGTTCAGTTTAGAGAAGACGTTCCAGACAGCGCTACAGACTCCATGGTTTGTGGTTTAGTTGAATAAAGCGTTCTTGAAAACAGACCTGCCAGCTCGTTTCAGTCAAGGACAGATAGGTTGGAGTGTAGGGGTAAAAGAGAAGCAGTTCAAGGAAACAAGTCTAGTTTGGGGGCCCACTCCAGAGCAGTGTTGACCACAGCAAGAGCTGCTGCCCCTAAAGCGACCGTCAGACCCATGACTGCCAATCGAACGAACCGCCTCGCTGCTGACGGTCTGGCCACCGTCACCACCGAGTTCACTGCTGAGCTCTCCAAAGCAGCCTGTTTCTGTCTGCGTCGGCGACGGAGAACTGAGTCTGGTCGTTGTTGAGTGGACGCAAGGTCAAAGTCTTTAAAGGTAGAGGCTGCCGTGCTTATGAGGTAAAGGGACAGTTACATATTGAGAGAAAAAGACAGACAGAAAACGAAAGTGTTAATGAAAGAAAGGCAAATAGTTGGATTAGTTAAAAGGCAGAAGAAGCAAAAATATGAAAATCACTGTGCATAACAATAGTTATTGATAGCATATAGTAGCAGAATAATAAAATATTTATACCAATAAGGCAGGTAGTATCAGTAAAGGTAATGTGCTTACATGTGCTAACCCTAAGTACTTAAGTACCTTTCATGCGAGACAGCCTCTCTTGCAAGTTCAGAGGGAGGAAACTGGACAAAGAGGTCTCCTGCTCGACTGATCAGTGTCTCATACGGCAGATCCTGGGGAATCTGAGACAGCAGGTGATGAACCATGGCCATGTCACATTCACAATCCAGCACTTCCTCCTCTCTGTACAGCACAATCTGTAACACAAACACAAATAATACATACAGGCATATTCACAAAGGGCCACAATGACAAGGGCATACATAATAAAAGCAGAGCTACTTCCCATGACAGTTGTTGCAATTTGGAATGACATGCCAGAGAAGATCAGTTTAGCCAAACTAGCGGCAGTCATAAATCTTATCTAATGTCAGGGTTTTAATGTCAGCTGCAGTGATATAATCTTACAGGAATGGATCAATTGATCAGCCATGTATCATAAAAGAAAATTAAATCAGTGCTTAACCATCACCTTTCTAAATGCAGTTGATTTAATAACACCACTACATTATAGCAAACTACAATTTGTTTTTACACAACTCGAACAGACATGATGCAACACAATATATCCCCATGATTTTACACAGGCCTCTGCACAGCCACATACGTGTCCAAGGTACACAAAGCTTCTGATTCACATGTAAAATGATGACACTAATATAGATATTAAAGAATTTGGAAATGCTTGATTGATTCAGAGGACATAATTCATGGGCTGTGAAGGAAAGTTGAGTTTCTAAATGTATGCCTCTGCAAACCAGGAGCAGTGACTATGAGTAACTCACCACAGCAGCGAAGTAGATGGGCATCAGTGGATGGCAGGCCAGGAAGAAGTCATACAACCGTACAACGTGGCGGAAGTCTGACAGAACGTGGCCAAACCAGGTGATCAGCCAGCTGAGAGCGAAGACTGTCCCCACCTCAGCCCTTAGAATCAAAGTATGACAGATGCTATCAACATACAAGTTTTATGACACACAAAAGTGATACATTTTGTAACTGCTCCACTTTATACTGTATGTAGCGCCTACCACCAGAATATTACAGAATCAAGAACTGAAAGCCAGCTGTTATGTTAGCCCTCCCCATCCAGGACTTAATGACCTGTGTTCTTTACAGTTGACACTTGAGCTGTCATAATAGGATCAGTGTGCTGAAAAAAAGTCACCCTTCACTTCTTCACTTTATTATCATGTGAGCAGGCTGTGACTTAGCTTTAAACTTTGTTCTTTAAGAAAAGAATACAATGCTGTAGGTGTGTCACAACAGTAGACTATAAAAGATTCATGTAACAGCCATTACATGAGTCCATTGTAAAAATGCAATCAGTGCTGAGGATTTTATTTATTTATTTTTTCTGAAAATAAACAGCTGTGTTTGCCTGCTGGTAAAAACTAGTGGCACAAGTATCCTCCATTTCCTGTAAAATTATCATGCTGATATTATATCACATGGAGCCATTTTGATTTTGTCAGCATTCAGCCTTAGATACAGCTGCCTGTCATACTACAAAATAAAGCTTTGGGCGATTTTTAATTTTGCAAAGCTTCATATGTTATTGTACACGTTTAAGAAGACATAAATAATTACATGTGCTCTATTGAAGCTAAAACACCAGAGAGACTTACTGTTCCATGAAGTCATGCACTTCAGGGTTGACCCTTTCAATGATAGGCATCAGATAGTTAAGAATGTGTTTTGTGTTGTCCATGGTGGGATCCATGAAGTCCCTGAGGATGGAACAGAGAGTGTATTTTCAGTGCACGATAGTGAGACTTTTCTTCAACGCACAAAGACATGAGGACACATGGTAAAAAACTAAACCAGAATAAAGAACATTCTGCAGATTCAATTATATCTAATGTAGGCACCTGAGGTGATGTGTGGAGAGCTTCTCCACTAGAGCAGTTGCTAGGCGCTCTCCCAGGACCAATAAGAAGGTGACAACGATATCATGGTATCCTTGGTAGTAGTGCAGCTGTGGATTACGTTTCAGAACTCTGAGGATGATGTCAATTAGCTCTTCCTGAAGACCCTCTCTCTGCTCATCTGGCATACCTGCACGAGTCCACCCAAAATAAAATACTGTTGGCTTATATAGGCTTTGCATATGTCATTACATCAAGGGCCAAACAAACTTAATTGAGAATAAAATTTGCAGAAGGTGAAATCTCCAGTGGTGACATTTTCCCCTTTCCAAAAAATCAGTTTGAGTGCAACTCCTTTGAATAAAGCGTTACAACAACAGATCTTAATCTGAGAATCTGAACATTCGTAATACTGCAATGGCCTGGCAGAGACTTGAGTAGCACAGAGTAAGCACGAAGGCTGCAAGCCTAAAGAGCGATTGTGCAATTCTGTTTGTGAGCAAAGATGTCTAGAAGCAAAAGTCACAAGAACAGCATGCAGCGACAGAGCTGTTTACATATCTGTAGGATAATAAATGCATTTTTAAGCTGAATAACACAACATTGTAGTGGTTATTTTTCCCTGTTTTTTTTCCCACCAAAATACTAGGAACACTTTTTAAAATAATGCAATGGATAATAAACATAAAGTAAAATGACTACCTTTTTGCCAATGTCCACAAAATCTGACACAACATAAGCATCAATAAGGATTATTGTATTGGACTAGATTGCACAGTTGTTCCTAACAAAGTACACACACAATCTATGAACACACATCAGGACTTCAAGACAGTTTGTTGAGCAGAAATGGATTCTACTCACCAGGTGGGAACCTCCGTAGTGAGCGCTGGACATCCAACAACACCTGGTTGTAGTCCTTGTTATTTTCCCGCTCTACTGTTTCTGCACAAGACATGTCACCATCACTATCAGCAAATATTGTACGTGGGAGAGCTTGCACCTGCTAACATTCTGTGTTTAAAATTGTCCTGCATGGTGGGAAAAGGACGGGACGTGTAACTGCATGTACTGGATATGAAAAACCTCCAGCTGATCCAAAAATGCTGCAGGCAGAGTACTGGCAGGGACTAGCAATGCAGATCATATTTCTTGCATGTTAGCTTTTCTTCATTGGCTAGAATATAAAATCATTCTCCTATCATTCAAAACCTTTAATGAGCAAGCTGCATCATATCTTAAAGACCTCCCTGTACGATATTGTCCCAATAGAGCACTTTGTTCTCAGCGTGCAGGCTTACTTGTGGTTCAGAGAATTACTGGATGCAAGATGGAAGGCAGAGCCATTAGCTATCAGGCTCCTCTGCTGTCAAACCAGCTCCCAGTTTGGGTTCGGGACACAGTCACTGTTTCTACTTTTAAGATTAGTCTTAAATGTTTCTATTTTATTACTCTTATAGTTAGGGCTGGCCTTAGATTACCCTGAACCACTCCTTTATTATTCTGGTATTTCTCATGATGCACTGCGCACCTCTCCTCTATTTCACTCTCTTTATATTTATTGGCTGCCGTTGCATATCGATAACCTTGCGTATTGTCCGTTTGTCCTCTCTGCAGGAATCTGTGGGTTCAGAGCTACACATTTCGGATCTGCGGTTACTGACCTCACAAACATTCCCAGTGTTTTCTGTATGCCCATGTCTGTTTTCTCTCTGCTAGCTCTTACCCTCACCTTAACAGTCGAGGCAGATGACTGCCCTCCCTGATCCTGGTTCTGTTGGAGGTTTCATCCTGTAAAAAGAGTTTTTTTTTTCTTCCTTCTACTGCCAAAGTGCTTGCTCAAGGGAAATCGTTGTATTTCTTAGGTTGCACTCTATACTACAATATTAAAAGGTTTTCATCTTATTATATGAAGTGCTCTGAGATGACTTATGTTGTGAATTGGCACTATATAAATAAAACTGAATTGAATATGTGGTCGACATTGTTGTCCTTGTAAGCACACGTAAGTAAAAAAACATGCATACATAAGTAGCTAACATGGTACCTGGCTCTTGATCCAAGACATCGAGGGGGACGTTGAGAAGCCTGGGCCAGACCTGACAGCGTATCTCATCAGTCAGCAGTCCTCCTTCACTGATCGCCATCCTCCTTAGAGCCGCTACATCCACCGGACTCACGGTGAGGGCCTGCGCGATGTCCGCTTTTTTCCTCTTCCGTCTGGTGTCCCAGTCTGAGATAGAAAACACGGTGTTTACCTAGTTTGCCCCTCTTGACTTTAATCTTCTAATACATGCAGCGAATACATGTACGTGTGGTAGGAAAGTGTTATTTTCATTTAAAGCTACATCTGGAGACCGTCTTTACTGCTCCAGCATCAAGAACGACCAAAGAGTAGACTGAAGACAGTTCACATGACACACTTGCCTAGCGTTACCTTGCTTTCCATTCACTGGCGACGATGCACCGACATTCATTGATTTCTTCATTGTTTTTTTTCCACTTCTTAGTGTGTCCTCGTTAGATAGTATTAGTTGCCATCCCCTTTTTCGTTTGGCTTACTCCAATATAGCCTTTCGTGGCAGCCAAGTGGAAGCTAGCTAGCTGTCTAATTAGCAAGGCCAGCCTCATACAAACACGGCCCGAGAGTTAGTTAGCTATTCAGTGTTAGCTAGTTACCAAGCTAACTCTGCGCTGCCCTAGTTTCGAAACGGCTTTTTTCAGCGGCACAGCCATCGTTACTGGGACCACTGACAAACTGGTTGACAACTACGAAACACAACCTGGTAGCAGTGCGATTAGACCAAGGAAAGAACTACATGTTTGCATTGGCGGAAGCGACCGAGGATACACCAGCGTTAGCCTCCCTGCTCAGACGGACTGATGACGTAGGGTCAAGACGATGGGAGGTCGCCAAGAGGAGGCGTCACACTTACTGACTCTGTTTAACAATATAGCCCTAACAACAATAACAACAACAACAATAATAATAATTTTAATAATGTTAATAACAATCATAATCATAATAATAACAACACATATTTTTATTAATAAAGATATGAAAGTAAAAGCTTTTTCTCAATATTCAGGAGGTGCACCTTAGGCCTTAGTTACAGCATTAGGACTGTGTAGATAAGTCTCAATCAGCCGTGCACATATAGATACTGCAATTTTACTCCACTTTTCTCTGCAAAACTATCAGGTCACACAGGGATCATGAGTTAACAGTGCTTTTCAAGTCCAGTCAAAAATTCTCAATCGGACTGAGGTCTGAGTTCTGACTCGGCCCCTCCATAACATTCACCTTGCTGTCTTTGGCTCGATACTTTCAGGTCAGTTTCTTGCTGGAAAGCAAATCTTCTCCCAAGTTGCAGTTCTCTGGCAGACTGCATCAGGTTGTCCCCCCGGATTTCCTTATATTTTGCTGCATTAATTTTACCCTTTGTCTTTACAAGCCCTCCAAGGCCTGCTAACGAGAAGTGTCCCCACATCATGATGATGCCACCACCATGCTTCATTGGGTGGATGGCGTGTTTGTGATGATGTGCAGGGTTTGCTGTCATAGCATCTGGTCTGATTGCTAAAAGGCTCAATTCTGGTCCCATCAGACCAGAGAACCTTCCTCAAATTCACTTTAGAGTCTTCCACTTGTCTTCTGGTGAACTGTATTTGAGATTTAACATGAGCTTTTGTTCTTTTTCATTTAACAATGGTTTTCTCTTGCAAATTTCCCAATAAGCTTTGACTGGTAAAGAACCTGTGTAACATTTGTATCTCAGCAATTAAAGCTTGTAGCTTCTTCTGAGGACTCATAGGTCACTTGGTGGCCTCCCTCATTAATCTCTCCTCAGTTTTTGAGGATGGCCTGCTCTGGGCAGATATATGCATGTGTCTTATTCCTTGCATTTCTATATGATGGATTTACCTGTACTCCAAAGAACAGTCAGTGACTTGGAAATGTTCTTGTATCTGTCCACTGACCTATACTTTTCTGTTGTTCACAGAGTTGCCTTGTGAGTAATTTTAATCAATATAACTTGTTATTGATGAATAAAATTACCTTTATTTTTACATTTAGACATTTCTATTACTTTAACTGCAACTTAACTTTGACATAACACATACGGAATTGATGTGTCATTTGAAAATTTAAAAAATAAAATCATTTGATTATTGCCAGTTAATTTTGACTCTTTCTATGGTTTACCCTACATTTAGTGTTACCTTATTTGGGTATCTGCTATTTCTACTTCTTCATTACAACAGCCTAGAAATCTTTTAACCCAAAGGTAAATAATTACTTTTTACTTCAATGCTACATTTGCATTTGCTTTCAAAAACAAGCCTAATTTGCACATTCAGATTATTTATATATATATACTTAAACCACAAATATTCAAACACTGCTTTCACACAATAATGCATCAGCAATAAGGAGAATATCACAGTATGACTGAGACAGAAGCACTCTGCTGTATAATATCGCATATTAATTGTATAGCATTGTTGTAATTTTACAGTTGCAAATGCAAAGGATCACACAGTTCATCAGATAGCGATTTAATAAACAAATGTAATTATCTGAATTCCAACCTTCTAGGTGTGGTTGTTCTGATGAAACGAAAACGAAAATGACAAAGCATTTAAATAGCAGCTGAGCAGCCAGAGCCTCTGAGAAGCTGCGGAGTTTGGATCGAGAGGAGCAGACGCTGAAATCAGACTGACCTACTTCCTTAGTCGAGAGGATTTCATTCTCGGTAAGTTCTTTCTTTCTTTCTTTCTTTCTTTCTTTCTTTCTTTCTTTCTTTCTTTCTTTCTTTCTGTTCGTGGCGTTTGGAAAAGGATTTGAGATGCAGAGGCACATGTTTTTTTGTTGGTGTTTTTCAGATATGCTATGCTATATTGATAAATAAACATGTAAACTGATCATCAAAAATACACGTCAAACTTTGTAGAGCTGGACATTTAAACATTAATGTCAAGTGGATTTTTCGTTTAGGTGAGTTCTTTCTTTTTGTCTTTTTTACGTTGCGTTTGGGATGGAGCAGCCTTGTTTATGAAGAAATATTATTAAAATAAGACTGAGTTGTTGTTTTTTAAAAATTTTATTTATTTATTTTTTAAGCGTACTGATCATCGAAACTACACGTCATTTGCATTTAATAGCTCTGTTTGTGTAAAACCTTGGCGTGTCTCTACAATTCTAAACATATCAAAGGCATCCTGTTTCGTGATAAGCTCCCAGTCATTTCTGGTGAACAGAAACCTAAACTCCAGCTCAGTAGGTCAGCATCCAGTAGAGGGCGCACTATCCACTGGAGCTTAGTCATTGCACTTCTCTAAATGCAATGGAATAGACCGTTAGAATTCAAAACACCACCATGGTTCAGCTATAGCCTCATAATAGTGTGAAGCACTATGATGGACATTTAGATTTATGTCACAAAAAACAAAACATGCTTCATTTGACAATAAAATGACATGGAAAAACAATGGTTGCTTTCATTTTCTCAGAAGCTGCAAACAGTGGGATCATCCTCTCTTATCTGACTCATACACTCCTTTGACCTTGCAAATTATATTCTGTGTGTGTGTGTGTGTGTGTGTGTGTGTGTGTGTGTGTGGTGATGAAGAAGAGAGCACAGTACATCACAGTGATTGAAACCCATTCTCCTCACTGTGCGGTCTATTTTTATGGGCCCATGCAATACATCCTGCAGATTCTTTTTTCTTTTATTGTGCTTTAATGTGTTTTGCTTACTCTCCCTTTCCTTTCTTCCCTGCCACTTACCAACCACAGTTTTAAGAGCTACCACATGCGAGACCATGGACAGACTGACTTTAATAACGGGCAGAAGAGAACCTAATAATGGTAAGCGTTCTGTATGCGGTTGCAATCAAACAAAAACCTGAGCAACCAAGGCTTTCATTTTCAAGGTCTCATTATAGAAATGTTTTTTTTCTCCCCCTAGATATTGATACTGGACAAAATGCGAATGCCCATGGAGGCAGAGGGAGAAGACAAGGAAGTGCACAGGGAGATAGGGTGCGAGAACAAGGGGACAGAAGAAGAGCACAAAGTCGTGGGAGTAGTCAAGGTGAAAGGGAGGAAAGAGATAGAGGAGGTGAAGGGATGCGTGGGAGAGGAAGACGAGGAAGAGCAGAGGCATGGAAAGGAGGACAAAGAGGTGCCGGAAGAGGAGGCAGGGTGGAGACAGGTGAGGGAGGAGGAGGAGCAGCAGCAGGGAGATGGGGTGAAGGAGATGCACAAAGAGGAGACAGACAAGGAAGTGGGAATGAAAGGGAAGGTGCAGTGAGAAAGAGAGTACAGGGAAGAGGAAATGGAGAGCCAAGTGCAGCTGAGAGAGAAGGAGCAAGACAGGGGGTGGCAGATATGTGGGCAAGGAGAGGTGGACATAGCGTGGACAGAAGAGAAGGAAGGAGAGGTGAGAGAGGAAACGGTGCAAGGGGCTGGCAAGAGAAGAATGGAAGAAGATCAGATTCTGTAGGCACAGGTAGGGCACCACAGGGCAGAGGACTGGGCTATAAAAAACTGGAAGAACTCACAGAAAAAGACCCCTCCGAGGTGGCCATTACCCTCTCCTCAAACGCTGCCCTGCCGACTATGCTGAGTGAGGCAAAAATGAGGCAGGATCTGATCGAGCTTCTCTGCCTGGCACTGAGTAGAGCCTTCAAGTCACGGGCCGACAGAGGCACCCTGCAGCACCTGGGTGGCATCATAAAAGATTCAGGGTTCTTCCGCACCGTCCTGCCTCACTATCTGGTGGGCATGGTGTCAGAGTTCAACGCTGCCCGCAGAGCACAATACCCACGGCACCTGGAAAACATCCTGGTCATAGCATCAGAGGTAAAAAGAGAAATGAATGAGTAAAGCCAGTTGTGTAATAGCTTTAGCTGAAGGATAAATGAAGGGATACATGTAAAATACACTACGATTTTGCCTGCATTAAAATAACCGAGATGTCTTTAATAAAAGGTACAAATAGAAGTTTGCACAGTACAATGTATTCATTTTATCAAGGCCTTCTTTGCAGCAAAATTTGTTCTGTAATTGTAGTCGATGAAGTAAAATTGTAAGCAAAGGACAACGAAATCTCCAAATATGACTTTAAATAATTAATTTAAAAGCCTTTTTAAACCAGACAGCATTATCTATAACATTAAATAGTACTATCTAAATCAGAAAGAATCAAATTTTAAATTTGGAGGAATTTTCAAGTTTAATGCTTAAAAACGAGTTATACCCCTTGCATTTCAAACCGGTGAAAATAACAAAGACAAAAACACAACTCCAGAAATCTTGTGAAATTTATCACTACTGTAGAAATCCATCGCAGCTTAAAGCTTGTTGTGTAAATAGATTTTCCCCATGCTTTCTGTGTAATTCTTTCATTAAATACCTTTACTAACTGTCTTCAATATTTGCTTTTTAGGTGATCAGCACCTTCCCTGTGAGCTCCATCAAGACAGCGAGTATGCTACTGACCCTGCTCCAAGCCTCTATCTACAGCCTGAGGGCGTCAGGCGAGGAAATCAAGCCTCAGACAGAAGAAACCATAGAGAATCTTCAGGGCATAATTAAACACCTCCAGGATAGATCAAGGGAAGGTACCCTGCGCTCAGACAGGGATACGTATGCGCTCCTACCCACTGGTGGTGTAAACCCAGGTAATTAGCTTTCAGGGATATTTCTACTGGAATCATACATATATATTTTTCTATTACACATTTTGATAATCTGCCCTCAAGCCGACACTGCACAATTAGCCAGAACATCATCTGGCTGGTTTGTAAGTTTGGCAGTTTTAGTGACAAACTCTCACTATTTGTAACCCAGGTGAAGAAGAAGAGCAAGATTTCAGGTCCATACCAATCTACCCAACTCTGGAGGAGTTTCAGCAGGACCACAGGCCGTTCCTTAGACCCAACCTCACCTCCCAGCGTTATACAAACACCCACATCTACCTGGATACGCACTTCCGGCTGCTCAGAGAAGACTTTGTGCGACCACTCCGTGAGGGGATCCATCAGTTGCTCCAGAATCAGATGAACATGGGACGGACTGATACGCCGCTGAGGACAAAGCGCTTTGATGACATCCGATTATATTTTGACACACAGCTGATGGTGCCCAAATGCACACAGACAGGCATTGGCTACATAGTCCAGTTTGACACTAAGCCACTTCAGGTTAGCCTTTAAATGGATTGACATGTTAAAACCTATTTTTGTCATTTCCTATTTAAATATTGAATATAAAGACATATAAAAACATGCATATTAACAATACTTTCATTTTCCCCACAGTTTGTATGCTGGGAAAACTCCAAGAGGCTGATTTTTGGCTCTCTGGTCTGCTTGTCGTGTGATAATTTCGAGACCTTCTTGTTTGCGACAGTGTCTGATCGAGACCCCAAAGCCCTGAAGAAAGGACTGGTCCAGATTACCTTCACAGAGGAAAGCAGATATAAGTTGACCAGAATTCAGGTGTGACTGTGCATTGTGTGTAACACCTACTGATAGGGGCAGAATGCAGGCAGTTGCTGAGGATACATGATGTTACAGTCTGATTTTGGCCACTTAATTTACAAAACTTATTATTGAAACGTACATTGAGTATCCAGTTTTTTAGGTACACCTGTTAAAATACTTAAGGATGTTTTCAATATTTAATATACCCTGTAAATGGTGAAATAAACGGGGTGAGCAAAATAACAAAACATCCACTTAGCATAACTATAACACGCTATACTACAGCCTCTAGAAGTGTAATTAATGCCTTGCTGAGATGATGCAGAATGTAACATGCAGGAAAGGAACCAGGTGGAGGGCATTATAGTGTTATGTGTAGTAATTATACAAATAAGTACATTTTTTTTATATCTCACAGAGAGATCAGTTGTTCGTGATGGTTGAAACAACTGCCTACTTTGAGGCCTATCGGTATGTTCTAGAGGGCCTACAGGAGCAGGAGGAGGCCGACCTGCCCTTTCAGAGGTAAGAGAGTGTGTGTGTGTGTGTGTGTGCTGTACAGGAGTGTTGGATTTCTTGTTTATTTTTTTGTCAAGGCCATAGTTTTTACAAAAATCCTACAGCACTTTCAAAACAATTCTCGTGTATATTTTTGATAGGGCTGTGTGGGGGTGAAAAGGTAAAAAGCAAGTTCAGCAATCACGCCCGTAATTGGCATGAGCCATCTCACTATTCCCAAAAAGCTGCCATGCATGGATGCGTTCAAATGCTGGTTTATTGTCTGTACCGCCAGTGCCCTTCACAGAAACTGAAAAACAATATATTATATTTGTTGGCCATCTGTCTCCCTAAGTGATAGAACATTAAACTGGTTCCCTCAGAGCTGCAGTGCCTATAAAGTATTCACTCCCCTTGGAAGTTTTTAACCTTTTATTGCTTTTCAACATTGAATTGTAGTCACTTTCTTTCTTTCTTTCTTTCTTTCTTTCTTTCTTTCTTTCTTTCTTTCTTTCTTTCTTTCTTTCTTTCTTTTTTTTTCAAGAATTTACAAAAAAAGTAATGTCCATTATTAAAAAATAGAAAACAAAAAATAATTGATTGTTTCACCTTTTCAAGTAAATACGTAGTAGAGTTTCACTTTGGCTGCATTTACAGCATTGAACCTGTTTGGATAGATCTCAATCAGTCCTGCACATCTGGACACTGCAATTTAACCCCATTCATTTTTTTCGCAAAACTACCAAAGCTCTGTGAGGTTGAACAAGGAACGTAAGTGAACAGCCGTGATAAGTCTAGCCACAAATTCTCAGTTGGATAAAGTCTGGGCTCTGACTCGGTCACTCCAGAACATTCACTCTGTTGTCTTTAAACCCTTTGTATGTAGCTTTGGCTGTATGCTTTTAGGTCATTGTCTTGCTTGTAAGCAAATATTCTCCCAAGTCGCAGTTCACTTGCAGACCGTATCAGGTGAATTTCCTATACTGTGCTGCATTCATTTTAACCTCTGCCTTTACAGAAGGTATTTGGAGATCAGTTCCTCCATTCTTCCACTGTTTTCCATTGTTTTTCATAGCAAAATTCATGGTGCTTTTGAGCTTGCACTTAAAGCAAGCCTATGCAGCATCTAGAAGAAACATAACTCCTATTTTTACGAATAAAAATTATAATGCACATGCAATAAAATGCAAACTTGCATTCAGTGTACTTGGTGGGGTTGATGCTAAAACCATTCTCTTGGTTGAACTAACTCATGTTAGCTGATTTTAGCCAATGCAGTGGCTGTTGTTCAGCTAAGTGATATAATAAACTGATCTTTTAAATGATTATAATAGTGAATTTTACTGTAAATTTTAAATTCAAAGATTCTTTCTTTCGAGAAACATATTAATAAGGTTCACCAATGCTTCCAGGTACATTGTGGAGTGCAGCACAGAAGTGCGACCACCATCTTATCTGCAAAGAAAAGACAGTTATGACCTGTCATCCATTGCTGACCCTAACTACAAGGACAGAATGCTGCCCTTTCACAGCCTGAAAGCAGAGGCTTGGCCAAAAATGGAAGAGCTGGGGCTGGATGAATCTCAGATGAGAGCCTTCCAGCTGGCCCTCACAAAGGAGCTGGCCATCATACAGGGACCCCCTGGCACTGGTAATAATTTCAAATTTAATGTCATTGTTTGAGGTATCACTTCATTCATTTGTGAATGAAACGTGTATGTGTAAATGTACTTTACATATTTTTCGAAAATGACAGAATCCAAAGAAATGCAAAGTTAAATGTTGTCCTACAATACATAAAAATCAAGCTTTTCTATGGCTCCCTTTTTCTCAGGAAAAACCTTTGTTGGCCTCAAGATTGCTCAGGCTCTGCTGACCAATCAAAGCCTCTGGAGAGATGAACTTGGCACAGCTCCGATGCTGGTAGTGTGTTACACTAACCATGCCCTGGATCAGTTCCTTGAGGGTAAACACAGACGCCTGTTCATAATAGCATCCAGTCTGTTGTATTTATTACTTAAATGTTTTGGTCAGGTCACTTGTCAAGGAAAAATGCGTCTTTATTCCAAATACAGATAATAATTTTTGGACATCTACTTCAAGTTGTATTTAATAATTTTTCAATGCACGCTCCTGATCTGTGCCCCGGAATGGATAATGAAATACAAATAGGCTTTCAGTTTTATTGGATGTGATGTGCATTCTGTTTGACTCTGCATTTCAGGTATTCATAAATTTCTGCAGAAGGGCATAGTGAGAGTAGGAGGTCGCAGCAACAGTGAGATCCTGAAGCAGTTTAATCTAAGGGAACTGACCCAGTCACACAACTTCAGACGAACGCTGCCGTCTCACCTGCGTGGTGCATATAATGAGGTGAGCTCATGCTAATTAAACTGCAGGGGGAATCTTAGAACTTAACTTGATGTGTCAAGTTGTTGGCTATATGAAAAGATATAATAGGTTCAAGTAATTCACAAAAAGTAGACTGATGCTTTTTGCTATAGAAGCCTTACATTTATCCAATGGATGTCTTGTTTTGCACATTATCTACTTAAGTCACTCAGTACATCATATGTTTCATGTTACATCGCTTTAAGTAATGCAGTATTTTAAAGACATCCTTGTGTGCTTTCTCCACTTGTTCAACAGATTCATAAGCAGCTGTGTCAGGAGGAGAGGGAGCTCCAGGAACAGAGCATAAAGCTGGAGTGTTCTCTGAAAGGTGTAATTCGTGAAAGCTTCTTACAGAGGTTCATTTCAAACCAACACTGGGACAGTCTGCATCTACGACCTGTGAGCCATATTCAATAAGAAATCCGTATTTAATGCATGTGTGTAACCTGAGCTAGTTAGACAAAATAGAAAGCAATGCAAACTCATCTGTCTTTTTAATGATTTGTAGACACAGGGTGGATTTGAGATCCCGACTGAGAAGAAGAATGGTTTGATGATGGAGTGGTTGGGTTTGGGTTCCACCGTCGTCCTGCAGAGGGAGACAGAGTATGGATATGAAGGTGTGTTTGTTACTCCAAGTGGTGTCACTGAAACAGTGGAGTATTTAATAACTGTCTAACAAACCTGTGAAAGTGAAGACTTAAAACAGCAAAAATGAAAATCAAAACTTAAACTATAGCAGTTACATCAGGATTATGTTGCTGAATAATAATAAATATCCAACACCTAGATCAGCTCGTCAGTATCAGTATGTAAAGATTATATACAACATGAACCATTTATCATGGAAAACACAACACATACAGTATATTGAATTATTGCATTATTTATCCCTCACTCATACCTCATGCCTGTTATCCTTCTGTATGTGAGTATCTTATGCCTTATTATGCTCCATGCTACTTTATAAGTTGTCAGTAAAAAACAATAACATGTGCAGTTATTGCACTTTGAGAATAGAATAATTCCCATGCTGATACTCACTTGAATGTGTTACAACAGAGGAAGCAATGGAGGTGGATGAAGAGGACCTCATTGAAATCGCAGAGGAGGCAGATCTGATCCAGGCAGAGAGGATTATCGAAGACAACTTTGATCCCAGAGGTGGTAGAGATGGCAGGAAGAAGGAAGACATGGAGGAGGCTGTCAGAGCAGTGGAAGAGCTGATGCTGGCTATGAACCTGGATAAAGCTGACATACAGGCTGAACAGCGTGAGGAAGAATGGAAGGTAAAATTAGGAGATTTTTCTTTCACAGTTTAACATTTTTGCAGTACCCGTTCAATCAGACAAATGGATTTGAGAGCACTTTCATTTAGAAACAATGTTGGATTGGTTTTACATTGATTTAATAGATGTATGCTCATGCTTTGATTAATTCCAAGAGCTGACCAATAGAGCCATATCATTACAGGTTTAGCTTTCCAACATGTTATTTAAATCCATGTTTGTTCATCTTCCTGTTGTTGGCGCATTGCTTAATTTTCTTGGCATCATTACTGCCACCAACTGTTATGCAATAGAATAGCCTAAGGTTATTGGCAGTAGTGTGTCACAAATCACCTGCTTTATACACATGCATGCTTTTTCAGGACACTACTCATAAAACTCTTAAAGGCTCCAGCCCCTTCGCAACCCTAGTGAGGATTAAGCGGTGTATAGATAATGGATGGATGGATGGTTAGCTAATGTGATTTCCAAAGGAGACTCTTGTCAAAATGTTAAAACTTCTTTACCACGATGCACCTCTCCACCACTGTTGTTCCAAATACTCAAAGTTTATCCCTTTTTCATCATGCTACATCTTCCGTATACTTCATCAAAACATCATCCTCTATGATGTTGCTTTTTCATCTCAGTCAAACTGAGTTGTTTTATTTTAATTTGTTTGAATCAAAACAGATAAGATGACAGTCTGAGGTTCAAAGTCTATCCTACCCTGATCTGTGCAGATACAAGGAGCCCAAAGGAAAAAGATGAAGAACAGAATCAAGAAAGAGCTAGGGAAGACCTCAGCTATGACTGAACTGGAGGAAAGAAACGTCTTGGATGTGTGGACTCTTAGTCTGCAAGACAGATGGAGGCTCTATCGGTAGGTCTTTGATTTTCTGTCTTTTATTCACTATGCACCTCTTTTTCAACTCTTCCCCTATAATCTCTTATAATTTATACATCTCCTGAAATATTTCTTTCATTTCTGTTGTCCTTCCTTGTCTATTTTTCTTCCTTCTTCTGCTTTGCTCCTCTCATCCCCTAAGCGACCTTCGTCTCGTAGAAGTAGTATATTCCCAGTGCGTATAATTAAGTCAAGTAATCACAAGGAAAACATATCCCAGAGGATCTTCTCACCACAGAGAGCCAAGACCTAACTCCAAACTTCTGTTATTGTGGAACTTGACTGTAAGGACTCATGTTTGCACAGTCATAGGTATCATTTAACTAACAAATAAGGCAATTTTCTTCCAAGACACATATAATACGTTTACCTACACTATTATATCACGTATCACAGCATTATGCTCCCCCCCCCAGCATAAGCTCTCTGTGTTCCTAACAGATGCTAAGAATGAGTCTCAAGTCTTCAGTATAATTGTTTCATTTGTTACAGTGTTGGACCATTATTAACTGACTTTGTATCTGCAGGTTGTGGGTGTCGCGCTACAGGGTGGAGCTTAACACCAGAGCTCTCACTTCTGAACAGGCCTATCAGAATGCAGTGGACAGACTGGCTGATGTAAAACGACACGAAAACCTCTGTCTTCTTAGAGACGCCACGGTACAGAATAACTGGAGTCTTAAATAGTGGGAATAAGAGTGTTTTCTGGTCCTACCACAGACCTTTTAGTCAAAATGTCCTTAAATTAAATGTACCTGATGTAAAGTAATGAGAAGTAAACATATAATTTGATGTGATATAATACATTACTGTTCTCTTCTTTATCAAAAACGAAGTTATACTCAGTTAACATATTAACATTAATGGAAAGTTTTGAGTTATGCGTCCAAGCTTCATAATTGTGGTCCAGAGATGTAAATGGTGTCAATCTTCTCGTCTAGCAAGCAGCAAGAAAGAAAAACTGTGTAATAAATGACATTGAAAAAACTAGACAGAACTGGGGGGCTCAGGTATAACAGGTTGATGAAAGCTGAGTTATAGACACACCGTCCCAAAAAGTCCATTAAATACACTGGTAGTACAATAAGTAATAATATACTTGTAATTTCAGCAATGTAACAGAATATTGCAATAGAATAGTGATAAAAAGCCGAGTTGATAAGCTAGTATTGTGTGTAAATAAACGTGTACCTGTCTATCAGGTTATTGGCATGACAACAACAGGAGCGGCCAAGTTCCGTAAGACACTGCAGCAAGTGCGTCCACGCCTGGTGATCGTAGAAGAGGCTGCAGAGGTTCTTGAGGCTCACACCATCACCACGCTGAGCCAAGCATGCCAACACCTCATCCTCATTGGCGACCACCAGCAGGTAAGAGCTCTCGCAGACACAAAAAAGGGCAATGCTTCCTGAACTCCTAGCGGGCTTCCATCTCATTAAACTCAGCATAACTGTTTTTTGTACTGCTGTGTTTTTAACAACACCACAACACCTCGAACTGAATTTTCCCATTTACATGCCTAGGTAAACATTCAGAGGACAGCGTATCACAAGGGATTTTGTGCGTTTGTGTTGCTTTCTGTATTTGTTGCATTTGTCTGTTTTGCCTTGAGAGAAATGGCAAAAACAGCATCCTAGCCATTACAAGAGACAGAGCAGAGAAGAGTGAGGAGTGATATGCTGGACACCAGTACACTATTATACAACTACTTGTCAGGGCCTGCCAAGGACATATGGCCAGGCAGCCTGTCTAGCAATCTGCAGCATGTGATCGCAGCAACACACAGTTCTATCACACATCTCAATATTCAGTCCCAGTTTCTTCTTGCTGTGTAACTTGTATCTGCTCTGAACTAATATTTGTTTGTTGTACCCTGTTTATGTATGGATTTATGCATGTATTTGCCTACATAAACAAACCCGAATTCCTACAGTTTTACAGAAAGTTCAGCAAGTATAAGAAGTGAATTTTAAATAGAATTTGATTTAAAATTGTTTTTATTTAAACCCCGACTTGGAAATCAATAGCCATTTTTTATACATTGCGTACATCCGATTAATATGAAAAGTAATTTACCACTCTGCCCGAGGCTTCACTGTTTTCTACAACTCAGTGCAATTAAATGTTCCAGACAAATGTTGACTATGTTTGACTAACTTGTAAGCAAACACATAAACATTGAATCATCTTTAATATATCAATTTAACGTATGATCAGCTTAATTAGTACAGATGTGGTACAAAAAAAGAGATGTGTATAGAAAACAGATCATTCTGATGGCACTTATCTGAGTTAGTCTGTTTTTTTTTTTGTTGTTGTTTTTTTTGATAGGTTTAAAGCATTTGATAATATTTATTTTGACTCCACGAGCAAGTATTCAGAGCTTTGTTTTTGTGGAACCCAAACCTGAGCATGTAATGGAGGTGGATGGATCACACTTTCCAAGTAAAATAAGCTTTGGCATTGTTGTGCTGTTCATTAATCACAGGTTTGGTGTTGAATCTAGCGGAACACAATGCTTCACATTTATACTAGAATTTGTCTTGCCTCCCCCACACCCCTCCCACATACATGCACAATCACACTCTGTCCTCTCGCTAAATTAGATTTGCACACACACACACACACACACACACACACACACACACACATATAGGCAAAGCAGCAAAAAACCTAACAGGACAGCAAAAGAAAGTTAGAGTACATTTGCATACATTCTATATTCCCATCTCGTCACTCTAAAGGACAAACCCAGAGCAGAAAATTGTTTCTAGGTTTGCTACAGATTCTCACCTGTGTGTAGGAACTGGATAATTATCAGTAAACTACAAATTATTGGATCAACCTAAACACGTGATCAGGAAAGACATCTATCCGTTCTTTACTTCGATTACGTATAAGTTATGTTGAACTATCTAATGCAATTAAATGTGTTAATCTAGTTCAGGAAACCTTACAGTTTACCTTAATCACCACCTTTATGAAAAAAGGCAAACCCTGAAAATAGGCAAGAGTCCATTTTAAATTTCAGGTACATAAATGTATATATTATTTTTTTCAAATCGTTTAAAAAAAAAAAAGAAAGAAAAAAAAGAAGTTGCATTAAAATTATTTAAACATATGATTTTCCTTCAGCTGCGCCCCAGTGCCACAGTGTTCGATCTTGCTAAGAACTTCAACCTGGAGATGTCCATGTTTGAGAGGCTTGTGAAGATGGGGCTGCCTTACATCAGACTCAACTACCAGGTTTGTGCTTCTACAAATATTCGTCTACTGAACTTTTTGCCAAAGCAATTGATGAAAATGTTAATGATGTAGTCAAACACAGAGCTGAAAGCGATAGACTTTTATTGCTGCGCTTTTGTGTGTGTTTGCAGTTGTGCATACACGCCAGCATGTCTTTGTGATTTCCTTCTCTGTCTCAGTTGCTGTTTTTGTTTGGTTTCCAGCATCGCATGAGGCCAGAAATTGCCCGTCTGCTGACCCCACACATCTACACAGAGCTCGAAAACCATCCCTCTGTGTTGGACTATGAAAACATAAAGGTATGTATTGTGATTTGACTCCTGCAGCGTCTTCATTCAGTTGGTTTTTCTCACCGGTAAATATCTATTTCCCTGCCTGCAAAAAAAAAAAAAAAAAAAGTGTTTTTTTTGCATTTAAATCATACAAAATTTANTTTTTTTTGCATTTAAATCATACAAAATTTAGCAACACAAAAATTGTAAATATCTAAAAATAACATGGAATATGTTTTATTAAGTGCTTTATTATTATTATTTTTTTTTACAGGGTCTTAAAACCAATTTATTTTTTGTGGAGCACAGCCACCTGGAAGAAGAGATCAAAGATGGAAGAAGCCATCAGAACCTTCATGAGGCAAAGTTTGTTGTTGCTTTTTGCCGCTATCTTCTCTTGCAGGAATACAAACCAGAGCAAATTACCATCCTTACAACCTACACTGGCCAACTCCACTGTCTACGCAAACTTATGCCTGCCAAGGAGTTTTCAGGGGTCAAAGTGCATGTAGTAGACAAGTACCAGGGAGAAGAGAATGACATTGTTTTGCTGTCTCTGGTCCGTAGCAACCCGCAGGGAAAAGTTGGCTTTTTGAACATTCCCAACCGTGTCTGTGTAGCCTTGTCACGTGCCAAGAAAGCTCTCTACTGTATTGGCAACAGTGCAATGCTCAGCCAAGTTAAACTGTGGAGCAACATCTTCCACACCTTGAGGGAGAATGACCAGGTTGGGCAGGCTCTGACCCTGTGCTGCCAGAATCATCCGGATCGTCAGGTCAAAGCATCTAGTGCTGAGGACTTCAAACAAGCACCTGAAGGGGGCTGCACCCAGCCTTGTGAGTTCCGTTTGGAATGTGGCCATGTTTGCTCAAGAGTCTGTCACCCGTATGACCAAGAGCACAAGGAGTACAAGTGTGTCAAGAACTGCCAAAAGATTTTATGTGAACAGGGACACAAGTGCACACTTGTGTGCTATAAACCATGTCCAAAGCAATGTCCAGTGAAGGTTGAAAAGATCATACCCCGGTGTCAACACACACAAATGGTTCCATGCCACCAGGACCCAGAAAAATTTGAATGCCAGAAGCCCTGCCAGAAGTTGCTTCCCTGTGGACATCCATGTGATTCAGTCTGTGGGGCACCATGCACCAGTAGATGCATGGTGAAGGTCCCTTTAAGGCTCAAATGTGGACACAGCCAGCAAGATGCTTGCTTTTACAAAACACACATGGAGCAACCTGAATGCAGGACCCCATGTGAGCACCAGCTACAATGTGGTCATGCCTGTCATGGTACCTGTAGCAAATGTTATCAGGGGCGCTTCCACTTCCCTTGTTTTCACAAATGTGAGCGTCTCCTGATTTGTTCTCACAAATGCAGCAAGCCTTGCACGAACAATTGCCCCCCCTGTCAGAGAAATTGTGAGAACTGCTGTGTCCACAGTAGATGTATGAAGCGATGCGGGGAGCCTTGTGCTCCTTGCGTTGAGCCATGCGCCTGGAATTGTCCTCACCAGAACTGCAGTAAGCTTTGCCATGAGCCATGTGATCGTCCGCCATGCACCCAACCCTGTGCCATGATCCTGAATTGCGGCCACCCATGCATAGGCCTGTGTGGCGACAAATGTCCCAGCAAATGTCGCATCTGTGATTACGATGAGGTCACTGAGATCTTCTTTGGCACTGAAGATGAGCCTGACGCTCGCTTCATTCAGCTAGAGGACTGTGGACACATCATTGAATACACAGCCATGGATACATACATGGGAATGGAGGACAGCAACCAGGCAAATGAAGGACAGCAGGTGGCCATAAAACTCAAGGAATGTCCCAAGTGCCGAACTCCAATCCGTAAGAATCTACGCTATGGATCTCACATCAACCGCAGTCTGGCTGAGATTGAGATGGTCAAGAAGAAGATAAATGAACAGCAGCCAGATATTGAAGAGCGCAGAGAGACCCTTCAAGACCAGTGGGAGGAAAACCTTCACCTCCATGAAATGCATGAGCAAGGGGAATATATACATATCAAGATCAGACTGGAAAAAAACAATCTCACAGCAAATGATCTTTGGGTCTTAGAAAACAAGATGGATTTCCTAATAAGAGTTGAAAAGCTACTTAAGATCGAAAAGGAAAACATGTTGTCCAGGCATGGCTTCAGGTTTAAGAAGAATGTTGCAGAGTTTGCGGGCTGGCTCAAAGCCTACCACCAAAACTTCACAGACCAACAGGTTTTTGACTTGCAGAGAGAGCTAGGGAGACTCACCCTCTTGGCTGAACTCAATGCCCGTTGCAATTTAGCAGACCAGAGAGGACAAGCTGACAAAATTCAATCTGAGGCACAAAAAATAAGAGATGTTCTAGAAATGCCTGGCCAATTCACTGAGCAAGACCAATGCAGAGTAAAAGAAGCCTTACAGGAACTAGACAAGAAGCTGCCACTCACAGGCTTGGGGATCAGTGAAGAAGAGAGAAAGATGATCGTCTCCGCCATGAAAATGCCACCTGGACACTGGTACAAATGTCCTAATGGCCACGTCTATGTTATCACAGAGTGTGGGGGGGCTATGGAAAGGCGGCGTTGCCCTGATTGTAATGCTACTATTGGTGGGGAAAGCCACAGACTTGACAGTAGCAACCAAGTTGCCTCAGAAATGGATGGGGCACAGCACCCTGCCTGGTCTGAAGCATACAACCTTCCAAACTTTGGTCGCCTTAACTTGTAAAAGCCAAGCCTTAGAGAAGTATGTTGCCTTTACAGCCTTGAGTGGCAACACGTTCTGATTTTACTGTAATGGCCAGTTAAACTCATGCTAGACAAGGAGGGACATTTACAAACTTCATGGCACCTAAAGAAAACTACTTGCATGTTTGGCTTTGCAGCATTCAAGGCACTTGAATAGGATATTCATGAGGACTATGCATGGGATCACATTCTTCTTCTTCTTCTTTTTTTTTTTTTACATGAAATACACTTTTTAAACCTTTATTGAAAATGCAGACTTTAATAGTATGATAGCAATTATCTGTGTTACTGTATTATTATCAAATATCCCTTATGCTTTCTACCATTAATAGATGTTACCTTGTATCAAGTTCTACTTCATGGAAGTTTGTTCTGTTGTGTGATTAGTGTTTTTTTTTTTTTTTTTTTTAACACTATGATGCAGAAATTATTCTCCCAGGATCTACAACAAGTCTTAGAATACGTGATGGAAGGTAGCTTTTAATGGCAAACTTCCCAATTTAGACTTGATTGATGACTATAACCCTTCTGATATGTTCAGGAGTCTTGTACCAGTTGTTGTCCTGTACCTTAACAATAGGTGGCAGTAAAACACTGTAAAATAACATACAGATATCATTTGACAGTTATTATGCATGCAGCATGTTTATACAAGAATAAAAATATCTGGACTTACAAGCATATTCTTGCATTTCTTTTGCACACACATGCCATAATTTGAGAAATACCATCAGCCAGACCAGTGTTCAAATAACATGTTTCTAAAAATGTAATTGGAGTTACACTGTATGTTGCTTGTTTTCTTTTTCTTTTTTTTCCTTTTTTTAAGTCTGAGAGCAATAAGCTTAGCTGAAGTGATCAACATATTAACTGTAATGCTGATACATATTGTATGTGCTTTAAAAAAAAAAGAATATACATATATATATATACACACACATATATGTATAAGGGAATTATCATTATTTGGAAATTATTATAAGAAATGCTATTCTGCAGAAATATTTTTCTAGCTAATGCATGAGGAAAAGGTCTTCTCCTCACCATTATAACAAATCTGAATTATTTTCTTTCTCCCTCTCGCTCTCATAAACACACACTGAGCTAATATCAGCCCGAGAGGAACATTTGTGTCTGTAACAGGACATCATTGGCAGCAAAGCCCAAGAAACAACCCTGAAATAGCTACAATTCCTCTTCACTACTATACAGGACTCACAGTCGCTGAGTTTCATTTTGTCGTTTTGTAACAGCTTGCATCACTTTATTACATGATAAATGTATCCCTGTCACAAAATCAGCTCCAATGCAAACTGTGCTGTCTGCAGGGGGAAAAGGAACAACAAAAATGTGCTGTCAAGACAAGTGTTAAAATTGAGCAAACTTTAAAAGCTTGCCACTCTCTCAGTATTTATAGGATTCAAGCACCAGGTTGAGAGAGAGAGCTGGACGAAAGGCGGTACCAGAGAAAAATGGTAATATCCTGCAGGAGCGTCTCATCTATCATGTCAGATGGCCTTAAAATATGTTATTGTCAGAGTTTTCAGCTAGTGTGCCTCTGCAATAAAAACTACCAGGTCGACCCCTATCCCGTCCAACATATAATATGTGGTTTGATTACTGTGGTTTGAAACATTTAGTAATAGAAAATTCACTTGATATCTGTAATTTTTTCCACAATTTCGATCTACAAAAGGTGTGCTAAAGTTTTACTAGGTTGGTTAAACAGCAAAGTTGCCACTCTTCCCATTATACCACACATCCTTTTGATGTGCAGTATATGGTTCAGAGGTTTTAGAGCTTAATCCAGCCTTCCTGGATGCATGAGAATGTACCAATTCAGGGGAAGGCTTGAATTTGCGCATCCTTACCAAGAGTTAAATGACAGTAAATATAAATGATGGGAATGTGTTGTGTAATTATGCGTTAAAACAACAGTTTTAAACAACATGTTTTAACACATAATTGGATTCTAAAATATACATTTTACAATTGTTTTTGCAGGTTAAGCAGATATTAGATGATTGTGTCTTATCTTGTCTTATCTGGTTGAAAGGTGAGTTCATACAGATGCAGCAAAGCAAGCTCCAAAGTATGGAAGCATGTGATGTTCAGGTTGAATTTTGTCAAGAATTAAATTTAAAAGTCTATTTTTTATGACAACCAAAACTACAGAAAGCCTGTTTGAAACTTTCGTTTGCAAAGAATCTCCAAGGCCACTGGTAAGGCTTGAATAGGAACCAGAGAGTTTGCAATTATGAAACTTGAAAGTAAGAATGCAAGTGTGTAATGATGAAAAGCACTGCCAAAGTACTATAAACTGTTAACTTGTTGTATAAGTCAAGTGTTATAACAGATTTAAGTGCCCTCTTAGAGAAGCTTCCACTTTTAAGTATATGCTGTTCTTTCATTCAATATAATTTTTCTGTGATATGTTTCGCTTGTATTCCATATCATGCAATCGTGGTCTTAAATCAATAAATTCTGACTCAGAAATTGCAATTTTATTTTCAGCTGGTTTTGATAGAATCGCTTTTAACTCGTTGCATTTCAGAGTCAGCCATAGGAAAAAAAAGAAAAAGAAAAAAAAGCTCAATATAATCTACTTCTGAGAAAAAGCAACAAGGTTTATATTCACAGAATGAACCGTTGGTATTATGCTGGCTAAGGGTAATGGGTTTGTATTATCAGAAAATTGCTCATTAATGTTCCCTTGGAGGCATTTCATCAGTAAAGTAGGTTGCAGTGCAAAGTTTCTACTAGACAGAAATTGTGTGTGATGCGGTGTCACAGACGGAGTACACAACCTTGCGTCTTTTGGCCGAAGATCTGAAGCAAAGTTGCCAAAACATTAGCCCTCGGTATCAAGCATTACCTTCAAGCCCCTTCATGTGCTCTCCATGTCTCTATGTTAAATAATAAATGAGAGGTTGTTTACATGGTTGTCCTCCAGAGAAGTTGTCTTTTAACTTTGTTACTGCACTGCATAATTGCAGCATATTTCTTCATGCAAATGATTACACACATCTTGCAAATGTAGGGATTTATACAGACATTTTTTCCTTAAATAACTGCACTGATTGAAGTTTCCTGTATTTTCACACCTCATGATTTCAGGAAAAAAAAAGGACTCTTTCAACATTTGCGCTTTGAAGTGTTTTCAGTCACCTTCCGCTTTTTACATTTTTAAATTTTTTATTTTATTTTTTTTTACTTTTGCCTTCTGAATTCATCTGGCACTCTTTTTGGGGTAACTTCCATTCTTAAACAGAGGTCACAATTTCAGAAAATATCACCTTCTTTTGCCTCAACAGTCCCACGGGCTGTAATTTCTTCCAAATTTGTTAGCAACCTCAGGTGTGAGTGTCTGACCGAGCAGATCACTGGGCCTTTTCTCTTTCCGGCCCGAAAGTGGCAGACTCACTCAGGCTCAACTGGCCTCCCATCCCTGGCCATCATTCCCACAGGTGCTTGGGGCGCTGTTAACATGCTGTTCACTTCCCAGTGGATTTGACTGATCCCCATCTACTGGACCGGAGAGAGTAAGCCACACAAAGCGATAGACAGTGAGACAAGCAGAAACTAAGGCCCACACACATCCACACAGACAGAGGAAGCAGAGACGAAGATAAAATCAAGGGGAAAACAGTGAGATTGGATGGTAAGAGGATGTACTGGACTGACTGACTGATCTGTTTTCAGTCCACCAGAGACTCTGCTGATATAGGAATGAAGACAGAGCTAGAGAGAGACACAGACAGAGAAGGATGATATGGAGGGAGAATATGCCCAATTTGATATGAAGTGAATGGAGTAGTTTGACTGATCCTCCTCTCCACCGGACCACTGAATGTATTGGGGGAGAAAGATATTCAGGCCGACAGATAGGAAGAGAAAAATCAAGATCAAAAGATGAAAAAAATACAAAGGTATATGGTGAGAGAAAATGTGAATAGGGGTTAAAATTTGTGCAGGAACTAAAAACCAGCAAGAACAAAAGTGAGGCTGACATTTCTGATTCAGCTTGTCAGACTCAGCTCTAAATTGTCAAACTTGCCTTCATACTTTGTCAGCCTCAGCTGTACTTAAAAAGTTATGCTATAAGGTAGAACATTTTCATAGATCCAGCATATGAGGAGTCACCAACAGGCAGTCATTGAAATTCAGATTTCAGCACCAGCACCTCATCTGTTACAGCAAATCCGAATGCAGCTTTTTAAGTAATGCAATTAATTCAACCCACCAACTACAGCGTGCTTAATTTCTATTAGGTTTGAGAGAAAATTATGAATCTTGCAATTAAATTTTACAAAGCAGCTGCTGGGTTTTGAGATGCACAGGCTTACTTGGCATTTTGTGGTGTTGACCACAAAAGAAGACAGATGATTTTCTTTCTAGAAATATGATCACATGGCAGAGAAGACTTGGCTTCAAATCTGTTATGCTTCCATTCACGAAAAGTGACATCTAATTTACAAAACCACTAAAAGCTCCAAAGCAAAAAAAAACAACTTATGCCTTGAGAGTCATATAATTTAATTGTATACATTTTTATATATCCTTCATCATCCAGGCCAACTGGCACATGTGCACTTCATAGCAAAAGATATAATCCTGGATGGCAACACAGTAACACCATACCGAACCTGGACTGTACACAAGGATGAACGTAACATTTTTAACAGTGCTTTTCTTTTGCCAGACATATATTCAATTAAAAGACAAATATGGGGGGTTTTTTCAATGAAAATGTCCCTTCATTAGGTATTTTTGATAGCTTTTTTTGAACTTTACTTTCAGTCTTCTGCATTACAACCTGGAAATGACATCTAGTTTTTGAGAAGTGAGCTAAAAGTCTGGGCAAAGTTTAAAAGGTTTGGAGTCTGGTAATATGTCAGACACACAACCTGTGGTTTTAATTGATGCTTAATTGCAGCGTGGGCAGTACATTAATAACTTATTACCTCAGGCCTCTCCTGAGATACTCGCCAGGCAACTCCTCATGGGGTGTGTGTCATCACATCAAAACTTTGATTAAGGCAGTGGGAAAAGCACAGACCCTGATCACATTTTTGTTCACCTCCCAGGCTGATTTAAATGTAAATTCATTTTTACTCCAGCTCCTCCCATCTTGACAGTGTCTTGGTATGGGTGTAGGGAGGAAGGGAGAGAGGGAAGAAGGAGGGAGCTGAAGGGAAGAGGGCAATTCTGCCCAGGTAAGCATATTTAGTTTGTGAGGGTTTGATTCTAAACTAATTTGAATAACTGTGTGAAAGCCAATTTGGTTTAATTGAGCTCTGCTCTTCTGAACACCTGCAACTAGATTAGTGACTGACATTAAGTTGTTTTGCTGCATTGGGCCTCCAAGTGCTGCTCCTGCCGCTTCATAACTCTGGATTTACTTCCAAATTTTTAATACAAGACCATATGTGCTTTGCAGAATATGCAATGAGCTTGGCTTAGTGTTTCGCAGAGCAGCAGTGAAATATGGCCAAGAAAGGGAAAATAATACCCAGGCTAATCCATTCTACTCTCCTATGCCTGAGTGCTGTGACAAAGGTGGTTTATTACCATTACCATCACTGTATGATTATCAATATGTATTAGGGCATCTCACCATCGAGTAAAACCCCAACAGGCCATGACAGGACTAAAACAAACTATGTTTCTGCTCCATCGAG